AAAAAAAAAAAAACAAAAACAAAGAGGAAAACAAATAAAATAAACATATATGAGGCGATACAGTGTGCAAGTGAAGCAACATCAAAACAGATATGGAGGGATGGGGAAAAGGGAAAAGGGAGGGCGCGGTGGTGGACACATATATATATATATATATATGTATATATATTCGCCTCTCGGTGTGTGTGTCTGTGTGAGCGTCTGTGCTGCGCCAACGTGCAAGGAGGACACACACACCCACACACGCGCGCTCAGTTACACATAAACATTTGCATATGTACACACACATATGTATATATATATGTATATGTGTGTGTGTGTGTCTCTGTGTGTACGTATGTATATAATGTACATGCATAATATCCCTCTTTCTACATATACATATACATATATATATATATGTATATGTATATGTATGTATATGTGTGTATGTGTGTGCATATGTTTATGTGTAGAGTGCGAGAGAGGGAGACGCACCCACGCGCTCACACATCCACTCACACGGGTAGGGAAACGAACGGCATTTGGGTGTCCACTCCGCCATTTTCCCCTGTGCGCATTTTCACTCATGCACACATACACATCATAGTATTAGCATGTTGCTTTGCTTCATTTTTTTTGTTGTTTTATTTTCCTTTTTTTTACTGCTTCCGCCCCCCCCACCCCACGTTTCCTCTTTCTTCCTTCGTTCTTGCCTTTTTTTTCCCCTTTTGCTTGCTGGCTAATGTGGCTCCGTCACACACAGACCCCTCCGACACGCGAGAGAGCTGGAGGGAGAATCATTCGTCCATTTATCTACCCATTCCGCCTCTCGCTGCGGAACGTGCGTGGTGAAATGAAAACAACATCAGCAGCAAAAGCAGAAACAACAACAATACCAAAACGGGGGAGGGACATATGTCACACGCCGTTGAGCATCTTTATCCCTCTCACTCTGTGTGTGTGTGTATGTGTGTGAGAGAACAATGGAGCGTGAGGGAAAGAGCATATATATATATATATATGTGTGTGGCGGCCCGGCGAGGGGATGGGGCTGGCG